AACACTGAGACCATGGGAGAGAGTGTTGTAAATCTTTCTGTGTTGAGAACTGCGGCCTCTGGAAAACAGAAGGGTTTTAGGTTAGAGGAGGATCTCAGAGATCAGACTAGTCATTTTATGCATGAAGAAGTCATACTCATGTCCCTTACATATGTATAGCAGTTAGCAGTGTCCAGGCCAGAAACTGAGCCAGAGAACATGCTGGATGGACAATGACCCACCCTGCTAGACCTAATCTTGGTTGAATCAGGGAGGCAGACGCCCTGTGCTTTGGAAGATTCTCTAAAAAGCTGAACACCTGATTCCTCAGGCCCTATCCACTGCAACGGAAAGACCAACCACAGTGAACAGGGGTTAAGGTCTTATAATCCACCTATACCGATGTGAGCAAGAAATGTGGCTCAGAGAAATGAAAAAGAAATAGGCTAGAAGATTGTCCCTGCCCGGGTCAGATGGCTGCCACCCAGAGAGGGCCTCTGCAAACCATTTGGCTTCTGGGGCTGCACACAGTCTCCAGGCCTTATTAACTCCTCTAGGCATGGAGAGTCAGCTTACTCTGAACTCCCAGTGGGGACCCATTCGAAATGTGTTAAACCTCTGGGCAAGGTTTCCACCAGAACAAGCAGAACGTGCAAAAATCAAAAGAAGAGCGCGGTTTATAATGTATCTGCACATCTACCGCAAAGATGCCATGAGCTGGGAATTCTGTGCCAGCGCTGCTGACTCCTAAGGAAGCCACTCCTTCCCCTTAGGGATTCTAAGTGTACATATGTTGAAATAAGGAGCGGCGGCGGGGCTGTGTCCCCAACACCCCGGCCGCTTGGCTAGCTCATGCCCGAAATAACAACACACAAACTGTATTCATTTAACTGCTTGACCCATTTCTATCTAGCCTCTTCTAGGCTAATTCTCACATATTAATTTAGCCCATTTCTAATCATCTGTGTAAGCACCCCAAGGTGCGCTTATCTGGAAGATTCTAGCCTCTGTCCATCTTGGTGTCTCTGCTCCAGAGAGCAGAGCTGTTCGGTCCCTCTGGAAGCAGAGCAGAGTCTGACCTCACTTCCTCTTCCGCCCAGAATTCTATTCTGTTTACTCCTCCCACCAATGCTTTAACCTATGAGGCCACGCAGTGTGTTTATTACTTAACCAATGAAATCAACAGATTGATATATGACACTCCCACATCATACATATGAGCCCATTATGACGGTGTGTGCTGGGGGAACAGAACAGCAGAGGCTCTGCCCTAGAAGATGCCCTGGTCTGGCATGTTTCAGCTTTGCAGTCTCCTGCAGGCCTTAGGCAAGTTAACCGGATCCCATGGAGAAAGGATGGTCTGTGATAGATGACCTCCAGTGTAATTTCTGTCTTTTTAAAAAGCCAGTATGGCTTTCTGTGGGTGCACACCTATGTATATCTCTCCCCCAAGTAAAGGATAAACTTTCCAAGAAGTGGGGTTCATTTACTCTTTACTCGTTACACCCTTAAAAACTCCAAACAAGCCTTTGCAGGAAAAAAAAAAAAAAACAGGCAATAATAAATTTTCTTGGCAGTGGACTGAGAGCCACAAAAGTCATGAAAAGGTGGGCACTGGGGCGGGGATAAGCCTGAGCCTGTAGGGTCTCCTTGAAGGCCAGCCTGCTCAGAACCTAGAACAATAGTGCTCTCCTTTAATTTCAGAAAGAAAAAAAGAAAAGAAAAAAAAAAAAACCTTGAATACATGCTCACTGCCAGAGAGCATGGATTGGTAGCTATCTGGTGTGGCTTGGTCTTTCTGCAACTTCTTGGGCAGTAGGCAGCAAGTGGTGCAAACAGTGTTCTCTGTGGGCACCCAGCTGCCTGCGGCTCTCTGGAAGATCTCCCTCCTCTTTGCCCCGCAGAAAAGAAACGTGGAGGTGGCCGGGTGGGTGGGGGTCCAAATGACTTGGCCTTAAAGGCCTGGGGAAGGGGTCTGGGCCTAATGAAATTCCCCCTCCCAGGCTAGAAGCCTGGAGAAGAAAGGCTGGAGAGGGTGCCACCTGCTGGTGAGGGGCCAAGCCTTACAAAGTGGACGCCAAGGAGACCTGTGCTTTGAAAGCTGAATTGGGGCAGCTTCCCAAGTTGCTGGTTTTCTGCTGTCTCTTGATGTCTACTAGCTCCGTAGGGTGTGTGCTCTGAGACGCCCCCGAATCCTGCGTGTCACTCCCTTAGATGGTGAGGTTGCCTGCAGGGGTGATGCTCTTTCTCCCTGCATCCCTTGGACCCGCACTCTGGGGCTAAGGACTCTCCGTGCTTCTCCATCAGGTGGAGCCGTCCTCTCGCCGCCTGCCTCCCTCCTCCCTCGCAGCGAACTGCGAGCAGGCCATCCTGCATCGCCGGGAGGTTAACCGAGCCCCCGGAGGAGGTGAGACAGCCAGCCCGCGTGGGCGGAGATGGCGGGGCCACCATCGGGGCCGGCGCCAGTGCCCGGTAGCCTGTGGGTCCTGCAGGTACCGCTTGCGTTCTCTCTGCCCCACGTGGTGGCCGCGGAAGATTGCCGTTGGTTTTCCCGCACTCAGGGATGAAATGCCTCCTGGTCCTTTTAGAGGCAGGCAGCTCATTACTTAATCCAAGCCTTTTTCCTGTCTGCGGGAGACCGGAGGCTGCGGTGGGAGAGGTGTGTGTGTGTGTGTGTGTGTGTGTGTGTGTGTGTGTGTGTGTGTACAGACCTGACTGGCTGGAAAAGGGGAAGTGCGAAACCAGCTTGAGGGTCCTGAGGTGGATCTTGGGGACTAGTGCCAAAGGAAAGCATCTTCCTCCCAACCTTGGACTCCCACTCCTCTCTTCCCAAGAGTGAGCTTTTTTTTTGCCAGAGTGGTGCGCATACACTGCTATGTGTGTCTGATGACCGGCCCTGTATTGCACACTTCACTTGCCTCATGACCCTGTTTTTGTAATGTTTCCCCCAGAGGGGCTGAATTAAGCAAACCTGGGCCGCGGGTCATTTAGAAGCTTGCAAAGAAAATTAACCAACTGAGAGGATAAATCTTTAGTTAAAATATCAGATGCTGTCTGGGCAGGCACATTCCTTCTACATCCTAACAGTTTCACTCGCTGCATGGTTTGGCCTTTGAAGCTGGACTCAGACCTTTCATCTCCCCTGGCCCTGAATACTTAGTGGAAAACGACTACTGATGCACAGCACCATACATACCAAATGCCCACCCTTCATATGCTATATGGCACATAGTGCTGGGGGTTATTATCCATCTTTTCTGTGTTTCTGATTTACCTCTTCTGTTTTATTGCATTATCTCTTGTGCCAAGCTAATGGACCGAGGCCATCATAACGCTGCTTTGCTAATTTAGCTGATGGTGTTGTCCCTGTTATTCAGCATCTTTCCCCCCACCCCACCCACAGACACACACACACACACTCACACACACGTGCACACATCCAAACCAGCTTTCTTAGAGATCTCCCTCTGATATGTTTAACAGCCTCTAAGAGATGGGGTTAAATAAACTATTATGTTAAGAATGGAAAAGTCAACAAAGCTTACACCTACTAATTTCTAGATCTTGGCTGTCAGCTACCAGGTGTCAGCTCCAAGCAGTACACACTTTATGCCTGTGCCCCTGCCTCTTTCTTTGTTGTTCATAGATTCTAAGATCTGTATTTTTTGAGTTAACATCCACATGGAAACTTAGAGTGTGCCTTGCTGTCAGCAAAGTGTGCCCCCTCCAACCCCCCCATATCTGTAGTACTGATGGAAGGTTAAGAGATTCCTAAAAGGACTCCCTGAGGTCCAAAGACTACAGAAAGTAGTGATTGATTTTATAATTGAATACTGAATGGCACTCATTGAGAGAGCACCTTTCATTTTCCCTTCAGTCCCCCTTCACTCACTCTATATGATGCTACGTTTTTTTTTTTAAATGTGTTGCTTTGTAAGACACTTATAGTTTGTGCCTGGGTGTGTTCCACTTCCACTTTGGATTATAAACTCCTGGAGGCATGGTCTATTTTACTTCCCCCTGTGGCCTGCTTATTCTAGGCATGCCTAAATGTCTAGCAAGTAAATAGACCTAGATAAATTCATGTTGATATCCTGGAGGAAATGGAGTTTGATTTGAGTGTGGGTTTCACGACAGGTAAAAGACTTTGCAGGTTCTCAAGAAACGGTTGCCTGTGACCTTGGCCTCTCCTTCGCAATCAGACTCAGCGCACCTTTTGGAGAAAAGGCATGCTTGGAGTGATGGAGTGCTTATTAGGGGAGAGGCTCCACATGCAAAGACGGACTGCTCCCTGTCCTTGTTAGGGAAGACACAGGCCGGGATAATAATAATAAATAGGTATCTGTCACAAACCTGCCTGCGTTAGCTCTTGCTCCTGCATTTTGTTTTCTAAGAGCGGGGCAAAGCAAACTAAGATCCAAACACTTAGAGATTATCAATTCCCCGCACACACCGTACACACACACACACACACACCAGGAAAGTCCCCAAATGCAAAGCATGCTTTTCTCTTCAACTCCCTCCTGGCACACACATTGGCTAAGTCCTTTCTGGGAAAAGATGTACCCCTCCTGGCCTCTCCCTACTCCCTTTTAGCCCAGATGCCAGTCCCTTGTGCAACAGCAAGGCAGGCACATTTTGATGCATGTGCATGAGTCTAATCATCGGTAACTTCACTCCCGTTTAACAACATAACATCGTGTGAACAAAAAGTCACAGCTCCGCTAGGTGCTCACTGTGCGTTCTGGTCAATAATGGTAACAAAAGCTGAATATCCCCTGTTTAGGGGAAAGAAGGAAAGCAACGCTTCTCTGCAACCCTCCCGTTTTGCAAAGCGTTCCCCTTTCCAAGTGTTTCCTCTTTAATTATGACCTGTTTCCCCTCCCTCTTTCCCCCGCCCCAGCTTCTGTGAAAGGAGCCCTTCTGTCACTCGTCACTCGCTAGCTCGCTTGCTCGCTCGCTCTCTGTGGGAGGAGCCCGCCAGAGGAAGCCGTGTGCCTGGGATGCCAAGAGCCAGAGAATGGATCTGCTCCGAGTGGGGACATTGCTGAGGATCCTGGCTTCCCGAGGCGGCTGAAAACAAGCATTGGTTTCGACTGCCTGCAGATAGCCGGAGACACAACAAGACCGAAGCGGACCGGAGGAGGGACGGACCGACGGACAGATAGATGGTCGACAGGAACCCCGGAGGACCGGCGGCGGAGGCTGAGCACCGCGAGCCCAGCCGCCGCGCTTGAAGAGAACTAACTGCACGCCCAAGTTGCCCCACCGGCTGCCCGCGCGCTGAGGAATGAGACCTTTCCAGCTGGATTTGCTCTTCCTCTGCTTCTTCCTCTTCAGTCAAGGTAGGAACCGGGCGCGCCGGAGTTGGAGCAAAGTCGGCGGCGGCGGCGGCGGCGGCGGCGGCGGCGGCGGCGGCGGCGGCGGGGGCGCGGGAGTCAGAGGGCTGGGAGGTGGGCAGGCTCCGGAGCTGGCTCTGGCCGTGGGTCTCCTTGCCGGGCCAGAGGCAGTAAGTACCGTCGCTTCTTGGCTTTTGCAAATGCAACAAAATGGTACTGTTGGTTTCCCTTCGGAAGGAAGGGGCTGGGAGGACAGGGGGCGGCTACACTTTCTCCTCTCTCTTGTCCATGTCCAACTCAAACTCTCCGATGCAGATGAGTTCTTTATGCACCCGGTATGTTAATTAGGTAGTAGCCTGTGGCCAGGCCATTCGGAACTTCTGGGTGCCTGCTCCAGCCTTCACAGCCAGGCTGGAGAAGGGGAGCCTGGCGTAGGTGGATTTCAGCTCCAATAGGTCTAACTTGCCCGAGTGTGTTTAAGGCAAATGTGTGAGGTTTGCACAGTTTGCAGAAAGGGATGCGATTAACGGAACGTTCCGAGGCGGGTGTTTGCAGTGACTGGGGGAAAGAAAGCTTGTAAAGAGTTTCGTTGAATGTCACCCGTTTCCCTGAGCAAGGCTGAATTCTGAATCCCACTGAGCACTGGATTCTGTGTATGAAATGGAATTTCGCCCCTGGTGCTGATTGCTTCCTTTCTGCAACCTAGCAGGTGGACTCCCCAGAAAGAACTTGGCTACCTCTGGGCTCCTTGCCACTAAGAGTCATGGGGCTGGCCATGGTGGAGGGAGAGAAGAACTAAGTGCCTACATAGCTAAAGGCATCAACAGTCACCTGTGGAATTGAGATGGAAGGGGCCAAGTAAACCGGTTCCTTCCCACTCCTTTGGAATGCCAATGCCGCCTCTGCCATCTGAGGCAGCATTTGTGCCAGCCAGCACAGCTCTTGGAGGGACAGGACTCTCAGAAAAAATCCACAACAGAGAACGTCCATCTGTTGATTAAATGAAGGGTAAAAGTTTTCGAGAAAGCATGAACATCACCATGGGTGGCTGCCTTTGCAAGCAAACAGCTTGTATTCCTTGCTTCTCTCCTCAGGAGAAGGCAAATATAAATAAAGCCAGGCTTCCCTCTCTCTTTCCCCGGTCCTTGTTGTCACTGTAGATTTCTCCCTTATTCATTCAGGTCAAACTTTGCAGTCATCCCTCCTGATTAAACTTGCGGGAACCCCTTCCCCTAGGAGTATGTGTAAATCATGTCTATGCAGATTTATAATGAGTTTGTACACACATTCATAGGAATCCCTAGAGCATCTTGAAGATAAATAGCCCTTCCACAAGTTTTCAGGCTGGATGAAGAAGAGCCATCCCAGAATCCTGGTACAGAGACAGATTTGGTGGTATTCCCACTGGGATGTGTGCATGCTTGCATATGAACACTCCACACACATACACACATACACTGACTCCCTTTCTCCTTTGCCTCTTAACTAATTTTCTTAGGAAGTTTCCTGTAGAATTCCCGAGACAAGAAGGGACCTCACACACACACACACACACACACACACACACACACACACTCACACACACACACGTATGCACACATAACGCATGGAACTCAAGCAAGTTTTTGTCTGTCTTTTGTATTTTTAGAAGCTTGGCCAGTGCTTCCTCAGATTGGCATAAGAAGCCTATAGGTGTCTAAGTGCTTCCCTGCCTGTCTGCGTCATTACAGAGTGTGTTTTCTACTGTGCTCATTCTTTTCTCAGTACCAAGCTATTTCTTGACTGCCTCATATGAATCTTTAAATGTTTACCTACTGAGGGTAAATGCTTTGTTTTGTTCATTCTTTAGCCCCGGGGGCAGGAGAAAAAAGCCACAGCCCCATGCAATTAAATCATCTTCTTATTCTTGGTCTTCCCAAGCTCGCCTTGCAACATCCAAAGGTGGGTGTGTAGTCCACGGAATTCCACATCAGCCTCAAGAAGATTCAGAGAACAAAGTAGACCCAGACAATCTGAGGAGCCTCCTGCTCTGAGCACTAGGAATCATGAATATAGGAGCATCACCAGAGCAGTTAGGAGGGAAGATGTTTGACTGGTTCGTTGTAAGGCGATATCGAGATCTTTTGACTTGATTCCTGAACATTTACAATGTCCCTCATATGACATTTCTCTATTTGTGTGTGCCTGCTCTCAGGCAGGGGTACACGCGGGGGCATATGTGCAGAGGTCAGAGGACAACTTGCAGGGCTAGTACTCTTCTTCCACCATGTAGATCCCGGGAGTGAAATTCTGTTCAGCGCCTTGGTGGCAAGCATGTTCACCAATTGAGCCATCTCTCTGGCCCTAATGAACACATGAGTGTTGTTTGGAGTGTTGTAAGTTCCCCCAGAAGATCCCATCTGACTCTCAGTATATATCCTTGTGCCCCGCTGTACCTGCTATCACGTACTGGTTAACTTCTTAGATCGAGCAGTTCCACCTTCAACGGGACATGAAATGACTACTAGCCCGCGTGGTTCTAGACGGCCCCTGTTGTGATTTTTCTAGCCCAAGAGTGAGGTCACAACCACAACTGACACACCTCCACACACAGGGAACTTGCCTGGACACTGCCTCCTACACTCGGAGCCTTCTGGATGCTCTCCCACAGAAATGCATAAAGGGTCAGGACAGTCCTTCCCTGGGAGGGAATGAGGAGTCAAGGATCTCGTTAGGGCCTTATCTAGCATGCTGATGACACGGCCATCTGCTACCCAGCACTTCTCCCAGTGGGAACCCGTGTATCTTCTTGGAGTTCTGGAGACGCAGTTCTCACACTCTCATTCCCAGGATCCAGATCCCCCCTCCCAATGTTGTAAAGTTTTCATTAGCATGTGATTAAATTCCTAAAGTTTCCCTTCTGATCTGTTGACTATGAGTCTCCCTGAGAGAGGGCAGAATAGTTAATGTCAGTAATATTTCTGGCTCTCTCTCTCTTAAAGTCTGGACTTTTTATGCACACTGATACCAAGTATTTCTTTCTTAAGGTGGACGTAGAAAGGGACAGCCCCCTGTTCCTACCCTGTCAATGTCTCTGGGCTTGGCTCGTGCTAGGGCATGGAAGGCTGCCAGCATACGCTGTTGGTGGGTTGCTCTCTTGCTGTAGAGGCCTCTCCCCCTCAGCTGTCAGGGTGGCCGTGCTTTGTATAGAGAAGGATAATGTCATAGCACAATTTACCTCCTGCAGAGAAACGGTATGTTCTGCCCCTGGGTGAAGAAGAATCGATTCCCTTGTCATCCAGATACTTAGAACTGGCTCCATTTCCCCCTTTATCATTTCAGTTCACCACAACTACTTCCTTGGATGCCCTCCTTAATCTTCCAGCCTCATTCCATCTACCCTGCACGGGCACCTCTTAGGCAACTTTGAAGGAATAGGGTCTCAGCAGGACTGGAGACTCCCTGCCTCGCTTGCATCTTATGTTCTGAGTCAGTGTTGGCAGCGTGCGGTGGGGCAGACACGGTAGCTTCTACTGCACATGCTTCAGGAAAAGTGTCCTCCCCCTCCCCCCCAATGCAATGGCATTTCCAGACTGTCCTGTCCTACCCAGTGATGGGATGGTCTCCGGATTCCAACTCTGCCCAACCCAGAAGGTGTGTTTGCTTTGCCTGTGCTTCTTGATGTTCTGAACATTTAGAGTAAAAAGAAACTCACATCTTCCCTGTGGGGAAGATCAATCTAGGATCCATCTCCTTAATAGACCTTGCTCTGTTGATTATCTGGACACATCAGAAGGAGAACCAGGTAGCCATTGGATGGCAGAGTTGCAAGACAACCTGAATCCCCAAGGAGACAGAAAAGCTTCAAGCAGATAGAGGGGGAACGGAGTGGCTGTGGTGCAGGAGCCATGGGGGTGACAGGAAGCATGGAGGCAGAGAGGCCACTGCGAGAAGCTTGAGTTTGCCCAGCGCTCTCGTGGGAAAGAGAAAGAACTTGGGTAAAGAGCACAAACATGTCAGCGGGTGCCCCCAAAATAAAGGTGGGAAGGGAGGTTCAGGCAAAGGGAGATCAGGAGAAGAAAATGCAAGTAAGCAACACTAAGAATACTTGTCCTTACCCGGAAATGTCCTAGCACCATGAGGCAAATGAGGAGTAGGAGCCCCCACCCCTGCTGCTGGAGTCCCAGCGACATGACATCCAGGGGAGGAAGAATCGCTTCTTTTCTTTTGGAAACTCCGAGCACCACTGCCAAGGATGTGGGACTACTCCTTTAACAAGCCTTCTGGGTGGGGGAATGGAGCATGCCTATAGGGGATGATGTGGATGGCTTCAGTGGCTGCTGCCCAACAGGGAGCCCTGAGAGCTATTGAGGATAGAAAAGAAACGCCCCAGGGGCACGAGGGTGTGGGTGGGGTCAGCATCGGAGCATGGCACTGGGAGGATGCCATGGGTACAGGAAGGAAGATCTGACTCAGAAAAGCAGCAGTGAGCTAGGCATGGTACCAAGGAGCAGCCCTGCCTGGTGTGTGTGCCTCTGTTGGTAGAAGCCAGGGCCAGCAGGAGATGGGGTGGAGCCAGGGATTAGGCCTGAAGATGCAATTTTTCATTTTTGTTTAGCCCAGTGGGGGTGACTTAGGCAGTATTATATTGCAGACCCAAAAAAAGCGCATGAATAATCTAGAGTGAATTCAAGAGATTTCAATAGCAAAATAATAACAATACTAATGATACCTTTGATTTGTGGAGTACTTTTCTTCCAAGGAGATAAAAAAGATAAACTGTTTTGGAAACAGGAACGAGGAAAAATAAAATTGCCTTTGATGGAGGAGTGGAGAGAAAGGCCAAGAATACTTTTTTTAGGGTCTTAATGGAGATGGGGCTGATGGGAGAAGCGAAGTGGGCATGCATGTGACCTCAGCAACAGCCAGCCCTTATCCTTAGGTGTCTTATATGTCGAGATGATTTCCAGGTGGAAAAACAGTTCAGATATCTTTAAAATTGGGGTCAGTTAAGAGACAGAGAGGCC